GAGCTGGAGAGCACAAGAAGCACAGACAGAGACCTTGACACGTCAAAGTCCAATTCTCCACAGTGAAATACAGAGATTCTCACATGTAACGAGAGAGATCCTTCAGAGGATCTCCAAGTAGACTGAAAGCTGACTTCTCGTTACAAAGTCCACAGACCAGGAGAGTGAGAGGCATACTCCAAGCCTGAAGAGAAAGAAGCTGCCAGACCAGAACACTAAACCCACAAAAATTCTTATTTATAAATGAAGGTGAAGTGAAGACTTTCCAAAATAGGAGTTGAAAGAATTTGTCACCACTCGTCTAGTCTTACAAATAATACTTAAAGATGCGCTAATGCAGAGACACTCAGCAGCATGGAAGAATGAGAAGGCAAAACACCTCCTAGTTCAGGTACAAGGGAAACAATAGGAATATCTACGGGAAACTGCCAGGCCCAAGTCGTTATATATCAGCAAATCCTTGGCCTAAATTCTCCAATTAAATGACACAGACTGGCAGAATGGATAAAAAAAAAAACAAGGCTCATCTATTCGCAGCATGCAGGAAAGACATCGACCAACAGAGACTGAAATGGAAAAGATAGAAAAAGAGATTCCATGCTAACAGAAAGAAAAAAATACAAGTATCAGACAAAAAAATTCTAGTGCCAGACAAATTTTTTAGACAAAAGAAAAACTGTCAAAAGAGATAAAAAAAGGGCACTGCACAATGACAAAGTGATGATTAAACAGGAAGACATGACTGTAATTAACATACTTGCACCCAAAGCCAGGGCATTTGACTATTAAAACAAATGCCAGTGGATTTAAATGGAGCCATAAACTCCAACACAACAATGATAAGGGACTTCAATGCCATATTTTGATCAATCAAAATTAGTTAATTAATATCAACTAAACAAAAAAACAAACAACACAGATAATCTACGGGTGAAATGGATTTAATTGGAATCTGCAGAATATTTCATCTCACAGAAACAGAGTGCCCATTCTTTCCATCAACACATGGAACTTTCTCCAGGATGGACCAAATGCTGGGTCACAGAGCAAGTCTCAACAAATCCAAATACATGAAATTGTACCATGTTATCTTTTCCGAAATTAACAGCTTCTGAGAAAGCTGGAAATTAACAACTTATGAAAATCTAAAACCTGTGCAAATACATGGAGACAAAACAATGTGGTCCTTACTGAACAGTAGGTCATAGAAAATGGGAATCAAAATATTCCTGGAAACAAAGATGACAACACAGTACATCAACATGTACGGGATACAGCAAAAGTAGAGCTAAGAGGGAAACAGCAATTTTTGTCTCCATCGGAGAGTGTAAAAACATCAAACAAATGATTAACAATACATCTCCAGAATCTACAAAAATAAAAAAAATTAATAGGAGGAAAAATCAAAATTAAAGAATAAAATTGAGACCAAAACAATATAAACTATCAGTTAGATCAAGAGCTATTTTCTCAAAAAATTAAAAATTGATATACCATTGGCAGAACAAATCAACAACAGGGAGAAAACACAAATCAATAAAATCAGAGTGAGATTTAAAAGGAGCTGTTAGAGTCGACAGCACAGCAATAAAAAAAATCATCAGGAATTGTCTCAAATAACAATTTGCCAATGGACTGGAAAGTCTAGAAGATATTAATATATTTCTGGACACATATAATCTGCCAAAACTGAGTCATGAAGACACAGAAATTTTAAACAGACCAATCACTAAGATGGACTCAATTACCAAGACAAGCCCTCAGCCAATGATTTCACTGTGGACTTTGTCAAGGGAGCAGGACACAAAATTAATGAGCACAAATCGATGGCACTAGTGTACACAAATAATTCCATGGATGAAAAAGGAATTGTAAGTACAGTCCCCTTTAAAACAGTGGAGAGGAATCAAACAGCTAGGAATTAAGCTAACTAAATATGTGGAAGATGATCTCTATGCTGAAAACTATAAAACAAGAAAGAAAGAAATAGAAGACAGTAAAAAATGGAGAAACTTACCATGTGCCTGGATTGGCAGGATCAACATCATCAAGATGTCCATATCACCAAAAGTAAAATGCAAATTCAACATGACCCCAATCAAAGTCCCAACAACATTCTTCTCAGAAACAGAAGATACAAAAGTTCATCTGGAAACACAAGAGACCGTGAACAGCCAAAGCTATCCTGAAGAATAAAAACCAAGCTGGAAGAATCACAATTCTAGACCAGAAGACATACCACTGAGCAGTGGTCATCCAAACAGTCTGGCACTGGTACAGAAACAGAGATCAATGGAACAGAACAGAAACCCCAGGAGGGAGCCCACACAGGTACAGCCAACTCATCTTTGACAAGACTGAAAACAATCCAGGGGAAAAGCCTGATCTCTTCAACAAACACTGCTGTGACAACTGGATAGCAGCTTGCAGAATTAAGACGCAAGACTCACACCTGCCACCTTATACAAAAATAAGTTTGAAATGGATCAAGGACCTAAGTCTACACCCAAAAAGCCTCAAACTATTAGAGGAAAACATAGGAAGCACTCTACAAGATATAGAGATTGGGAAAGACTTCTTAGAAAAGTCACCCCAAATTGGAGTGCCTTCAGAGGCCGAGAACTCTGAGGTCACACATCTCCATTTGGATCTACCACATGGGAGGGAAGAAGCACAAATCCTGCCTTGCAGAATCCAAGGTCATTGGGAACAACAACCAGGAGCACTGAGCAGTCCACAGAAACAGAACAGGAAACTTCCTTCGGGACTAGGGAGAGGAGCTTTCTCTGATTCTTGCCTGGTTCCAACTTTGGGTCCCCACTCTCTCTTGTAATGACCATCAGGATCGCTCCAGAAACCCCTCAAAATAAACTAACAAATAAACAAAAAAAAAACTAGAATAGAAGGAGAACAACAAGGAAAGCTTAGAAACAGAAAACGGGCAGTGGGGATGCACTTAAAACTCACTGGGTGGGACACAAAGATTAGTTACTCCTCACTAGGGTATTGAAGATTTCTCTGCACACCCCTCCTAAAACTGTTCACCTAAACTGTTGACATATGTCTTGTTAGAATTATAGACTACCCGAAAAACAGCCAGGTTCAGCAATAAACTGCTAAATACTAAAATTAAAATAGACATGAGACAGCTGAATAGTAATCTATAGCCATTTTAAGGTGTATAGAACCCGGTTGTATATAAACTAACAATTGAAATGTCAATGTAGAAGTCACAGGATGTGGTTCAGAACTAGCACTCTTTCTTTTTTTCTCTCTTTTAACATGTTGGTTACTCAATACCATGTCAACTAATTCCATTACATTATAAATTGTTACTGATGTAATGTCGGGGCTTTTAATTGATTGGGATGATACTCTGTCGGCTCTACCTTCAGACCAGAGATGGTCTCCCCAAGAAACCATTGAACTTATCTGGACAATAAGATGCTGCACTCTATGCTTTGTAGATGCTTGCAATGAAAGAATCTCAACTGAATTCGAACTGTGGTAATGCAACAAGATGGAGGAATCCACCATGGGGTGGGGTTTGAGGTGGGGTGGGGGGACTCCCAGTGCCTATAAAACTGTGTCACATAATGCAATGTAATCAGTAAAAAAAGAAAGAAAAGTCACCCCAAGCAAAGGCAATCAAAGCCAAAATAAACAAATGGGACTATATCAAACTAAACAGTTTCTTTACACCAAAGGATACAATTAACAAAATGAAGAATCAGCCAACAAAATGGAAGAAAATCTTTGCACACTACACAACTGATACAGGACTAATATCCAGGATTTACAACAAGCTTCAGAAACCTGTATTTACAGCAGCACAATTTAAAATAACAAAGATATGGAAACAATCCAGGTGCCCATTCAAAGAAGAGTGGATAAAGAAACTGGTACATCTACTCCGTGGAATACTACTCAGCCATTAAGTGTAGCAGAAATTAATATGTTCATAGGTGGAAACAGAGGGAAGAGTGTCTCTATGCATGCAGTACCAGGATGGGCTCATAGCAAAACGGCTGGTAATCTCCTACATTGTTGGGAGACACCTCAGTGGCAGCAAGACGGACTTGTGAGCACGACCCTTTGCACAACGCAGGTCCTTTCTCAAAACCAGCTGTTGGAAATGTCCTTTTAGTCACCAACAGTTTCACTCCCTGTGCAGGGGCATGGAGGAAGCCTGGCTCCAGACACTTCCAGAAACTGGTTGGCCAAGCCTGACAAGCTCCCATGGCTGCTGCCCACTGTGTCCTGAGCATCCCTCCCCCTGCACCGCAAACCAGGCCCCGGCTTTGTAGCCCATTTCCCTGCCACCTCGCTGGTCACTGGCCTGCAGACCTTCGTCTTAGCAGCCCCTTCCATGACCCCCTCTCCCACCTCATCGACCTCTCACCTTCCCCTGGACCCTTTTTAAACTCCTCTCCTCCATCAGTCCAGGGAGAGGGAGATGGTGCCTGTGGGTTTCACCAGCACCTCATCCTCTGACACCATTCACTCCCAGTCAGTCCCCAGCAGTATGAAAGGCCTCAACCAGGGGCTCTGCTGCAGACAGGACTGTGGGTAGACCTCAGTGGCAGGGCAGGGCTGGGGAGCGAGGTAAACATCAAGGAATGACAGCATCAAGTTCACACTCACACATGGGATGGGTGTTACAGAGGCCCTGGGGAAGAGGAGCCTGCAGGAAAGAAGCAGGCAGGTCTAAGGGTGAGCAGCGGCTAATGGGGGACCACAGGACACTCAGTGAGCAAGGACTGAATGAGCAGCTAACAGGGGACCACAGGACACTCGGTGAGCAAGGACTGAATGAGCAGCTATCGGGGACCATAGGACACTCGGTGAGCAAGGACTGAATGAGCAGCTAACAGGGGACCACAGGACACTCGGTGAGCAAGAACTAAATGGGGAGCGGTGAGAATGAGCCTGGTATGGGTAGGGTTGATGGAGCAGGAGGAAGGGGGTGGTGGGAGGCATGGCCAGCCCTCACTACCCACCTGGTCCACAGGCACCTCCACCAGCACGTCCACATCCTCCTTGACCTGCAGCACTCCCTGGGAGTCCTTGGTCGGCGTCTGTGCTCTGTACACATCACCTTCTGCAGGGAAACACGGGGGAAGCTGACCAAAGTCCCAGCACTCAGTATTCCCTGAGTTTCCCATGTCATCAGACAGATCACCTGGCCCAGGGGCCCCAGATGTCATGCCATCTCGCCCTCTTGGCCGCTGAGCCCTGGATACTGCTTCCACAATGGCGGTCAGCTCGGCCCACATTCAGCTGTCTGTGTAAAGGCCCTGGACACTGGAGATGGGGTGTCCCCTGCACAACCACCCACCACTGTAGTCAGCTAAGTCACAAAACAGGATTTAAGGAGACACAGCTTGGTGACTTCAAAACACACTGAAGAGCAGAGGTCCAACAGGTACTGCTGCATGCACTCTGAGATACACTCAGCCCACGGCTGTTCCTCTTGGCATCACAATCACATGCATTAAATGCTAGAAAAAGCTGAGGTCCCTAAGGAGCTCATCCTCACCCTGATCACATGCACAGTGGGCCAGGTGGCCCAGCCAGTTCCTCCAGCATCGGAAAAGGCAAACAGTCCCTGACCAGCTTGGTTCTCCCAAATGGGAAGCCCTGTTCACAGGCCCATCTCATCCTTCAGCAGCTGCGTCCTTGTCCTTGTCTCTCCCTGGTCCTCAGCCCGGGAGAATCACCCCCAGCCCTGTGCTGGAGGGTACATTTTCCCATGGTGGGAGAGGGCAGCAGAAGGCAAAAAGAGCAACCTTCCTACTAACACTGAGGCGAGCCCACATCCTATACACTGTGCCCTCCCTCTCAAGAAACCGTCAGCCAATGCCTCCTGCAAGAGAAGGACCGCCCCACGGTTACACAGTGCAAGCCACCGCTGGGCTTTGAACTCCCAAGTTTAGCGGAAGAAACAAAGAGGAGAAAACCTGAGATGGGGGAAGGCACAGAATCCATGGCAGAAGAAGCTCTAAGAAAGATGGCTTATAGGAGCATGATCACGGCCATGCTGCCCACCCTCCATCCAACAGCCTGGGCTTCACTCCCAACTCCCGCTCCTGCCTCCAGCTTCCTGTCAGCATGCACCCAGGGAGGCGTCAGGGATGGCTCACTGACTGGCCCCCAGAAGAGCTGGACTGGGGTCGCAGCTCCCAGGTTCAGCCCTGGCCCAGTCCCTGTCATTTGTAGGCATGTATGGAAAGAACCAAAAGGCCAGTGTTCCCATGCTCTCCAGCTCTGTGTCCCCTCTCAAAGCCAATGTGAACAAGAAGTTAAAATCAGAGAAGGTTCAGAGCTGCCGAGAGGTCTGGGCAGGGCGTACTTCTGTCCTGGGCTCTGTCCTCTGTGCTTATTGGGGTCTCGCTGAGTCACTCTCATGTGTGCCAATGGGGCACCATGGAGAGGGCCTCCTTCTGAGCCTGGCACCATGGAGAGGGCCTCCTTCTGAGCCTGGCACCCAGGAAGGAGTCAAGTCCACAGGCAATGGCCCTTGTCATCCACACAGGCACTCTCGTAAAGCCAGCTCTGAAGGCCTCTCCCCCCAAAGTCTCTCCCCCTTGGGGTGCCCCCAGCCCCCCAGGAGAGCTCACTCTCGCACCTCCCCCTTGCTGCCTGCTCTGTATGCGCCCACCCCTGATTACACACAGATGACAGAACTGACTCCCAGGGCCCTGGGGAGAATCTGCTCGACTCCAGCACTGGGATTTTGCTCGCTATAAACTGAACATTTCAACAGATCAACTAGTTAAAAGTCAGAAACCATCAAGTGTAAAAATCTGAAACACACATACATGCCCACGCACATGTGTACATATATACAAACACTGTGTGTGCATGTGTGTGCAACTGTGTGTGCACGTGTGTGCATGTAAGCATGTGTACACATGTGTGTGCGTCCACATGCGTGTGGACACATATGTGTGTACATGTGTCCCCAGCCCCTGAGTACTCTGTCATCTTCCGCACAGTATAATTTCACGTTACCTGCACCTGTTTGGACCAAAGGTTCTACCAGAGCTTCCTTCCTTCCTTCTTTGGCATAATAAACAGAGTCCTGAGTTCTGGGGGGGAGGCTCTCTTGTTTAGGAGGTTCTCTCACTTTGGAATCCACCTAAGAGACATGAAAACATAAAGCATGCTAGGTGCAGGGGCTCCGGCGGCCCTCATGTCCTCCACAGGGGGGGTCAGGAGAAGTGCAGGCCTTGCTGGGTCCATGGTGGCAGAGCAGGCACCTCCTGCGAGCCTCACCAGGAGCTCCCTGCCCCTCCAGACCCTGTGTGAAGCAGCAAGGAGAGTTCCGGCCCTCCCAACCAGGACAGAGGGAGTGGGCTGGCTTCTAGCCTGACCCCTGACCCAGGAAATGCATGAGCCAGCCCAGCAGACACACAGCTTTCCCAGCCACATGGAGTGCTGTCAGCAGCCACTGCAGAGCTGTTTCCCTGTGTCTCCAAGCATGCAGACAGCTTCCCCAACAAAGATCACCCCTGGGCTTCAGAAAGGGGAACTCAGCTTCTCTAGATGGCAGAGCATCTCGCCAAAGCAGCACTGAATCACAGAAGAGAGTTGGAGTCATCCTTGGCAGACCAAGCTCATCCCACAAACTGTCTCTACAATGCAATCTGTCTTCTTCAGCGTCTCCTCTTTTCCATCGGGAGTGCTTGGAACTGAATCCAGGTGAAGGGGCATAAATAGGTATTTTTCTCACACTATGTGACTTAAGAATGTCAGAGTAAAAACAGCCACCCGTACCATGCATACAGCATGAATGACACAAGCTCCCTCGCGGAAAGCAAAGCATGAAAGTCACCCTCCAACCTTACACAAGAGGGCACCCAGAATGTCTCCACCTGTCTTAAGGAATTTCCTGCGAGCTGAAATTGTGTCCACGGGTATATAAAAAGCACCTGAGCAGAATTGGTTTCAGAAACAGAAATTGACACAATGCTTGAGACCCGGAGCTGGGAGCAGGCGTGGGATGCTGATTATCAAGGTGGTTCCTGTCAGTTACCATTACCCACATCTGCTTGCTGCTGTCCATTCTGCAAGCTACGGCCACTAAGCTGGAGATCGCATATCTATGATTGATTATATCCAAAACGGTGTTCAAAGGGTAAGGATGAAGCCATGACCAAAAGCAGCTATGACACCAAGCAAGGACCACCCACACCTTGACAGCGACTCCTGTCGCCTGAATCTTCAGCAGGTAAAGAGAGGCTGCCCCCACTCTGGCTGTGGAGGGCTGGGCACCACACAAGCACTGCCACTCACTCAGGTTACACCTCACTCGCCCTCTTCCCCAAGCACATGCCCTGAGCTGGGGGGCTGGGAGCTCCAACACGTCCTCCTGGGTGACTGCCGACAGCCACTCCCAACAGCCACTCCCTTCCCCACCTGCCGCTCACAGCATTCCCATAACTGATAGATTCACTCCTTGTGAAGTCGGCCATTTCTCTATCGTCACCATGACACAAGAACACTCATGAGGAGAAACTACGGGGTTTGTCTATGCGTTCATTATGAAGGGCAAGAACGAGCCTGGCATGTTGGGTGCTCGGAGCCGCTCTGTCAAACAAGTGAATGGGGCCAGCACATCTGTTCACCTCCACCATCCCGAAAGCTGCAGGGGCTGCCAGCCTTGGCTTAGCGCAGTGCCCTTTCTGCGCCAAGTCCTGCCTCGCTTCTCTGCTTCCTGTTTGCACACCACCCTGCCTTCCTACCCACAGCCTTCCAACTGGGCACTCTTCCTCACCTTCTTCCTGTGTTAGTGCTGCTTCGAATCCCAGGCCTACCCTCACCTTGCAAGTCCCTCAGGCTCATTGCTACAACACCTTCATGCCTGCTGACCGTCTGCGTTCCCAGGCAAAACAAGCAGCAGGTGCTCAACATGCACTTGCCATCAACTGAGCGAGCAGAAGGGCGGCTCCGTCATCTTTGCCAACCGAACAAGCTGAGCAGGAGAGCAGAATGAGCGGTGAGCACCTGCAAGCTCACACTGGAGGACATGGGCTGGAGGGACAGCGTCTGCAGGCTGAGTCTCTTTGCATGTTAAATCCATGTAGACCCATCACCTTTTGATACTTTTCCCAGAAGCATAGTGTTTTATCACAGGACAGGAAGTTCTCTGTGATACGACTCTTGCCCAATTGTCCATATTGCGACACAGTCATTCTCCAAAAAGAATGACTGCATTTTTCACCCAGCTGGGGACTCAGTCCAGGAGCTACATGGACATCAGGCCCTCCAGTCTCTGACCTGGAGCAGCTCCTCCCACTTCCTTTGTCTTTTGAGGATGTGGGCATTTTAAAAGAGCACAGCACAGCATTGGTCTGTTCTACGGAAAAACCCAGAAGTCTGCCTTGCCTGCTATTTCCACGCAGTGAGGTGGAGGCCGTGCACCCCTGGCTGGAGCCGTGCCTGAACACGCCCTCCAAGGCACCAGACCTGGGACTCAGAGGTCTTCCCATCCCTCCACGGACACGGCCCTTCGAGTCAGGTGCCCAGTTCTCCCCCGGGCAGCGTCCTGTGCCTTCCAACCAGCACCCCCTACAGGACATGCAGACACGCTGCCGCCTACTCTCCTGCCCTAAACATGGGCAGCGTGTGAGGCTTGCCCACATCAACCTCAACAAGAAGGCTGGTGGGCGAGTCAGGAAGTGGGACATCACAGCCTCCTAAACAGCGCACATCGCAGCAAGCTGCAAAAGGCACCAAATCTGAATTCCACCTGAAAGAGAGAAAAGTCACCCAATCTATGACGCCTGCAGGCTGGGTCATACACAGCTTAGTGCTTACTCAGTTGAAGACATTCAGCCTCTTACACACTGAGTCTCAGGGCCACACCCAGCACTTGACTCAGACGAGGGCCTGAGCCCGGACTCACTCACAGTGCCCAGCTCCATTTTCAATGAGAGCATACCTGTTTCTTTCTCTGTGTGTGTTTTTCAGCGTCCATGTAACTTCTGAAAAACAAAAGACAGTCAGCTGGAGGCGGCAGAGCTCAGACCTCACCCATCCTCGTCAGGATGCTGCTGCCGCCGTGGTTTGACAAGAGACCTGGCGCACACCGGGCGGCTTGCTGTCCAGGGCAGACAGGTGCTTCCGGAAGCACACCAAGCAGCAGGGCAGGGGCTCTCCAGCTCCTCTCAGACGGAAGCACGGGCACAGACCACACTCACCGCTGGACCTCACTGGGAACTTTCGGGGACTTCCAGTAAGCAAAATGCTTGAAGGTCTCAAGTCCCACAGCAACATAAAAATGATTGTCTTGTAAGTCCTTGGAATTGTTCAACAGACTTCCATTCAGGGTAAATAATCTGTAAGAAAGGAAGTAGGGGAGATAAGCAGGCAGGAAGAGTGGCCCAGAGCTGTCACACAGGTGACCAGACCAGCACATGGACTGCTGCGTTCCGTGTGCGACCAAGAAGCATCTGACTGTTGTGTTCTCCATGTGAGCTGAAGGCCATGCAGACGATTGCAGAAGCAAGGCTGCAAGCAAGCACAACCCAACGAACCCTCGAAAGCTGATGGGAGCTGCTCTTGCAGGGTTAGATTTGCTTTCCTTAAGTTTTTAATTAAAGTATATTTTTAATTATGTGCAAGTGCTCAGAGGCTCTCAGACTTGGTAAGCGTTTGGTTGGTCTTCAGTTAATTTTAATAACAGCTAAAAATAATATAAGTTGGCGTGTAATGAAATAACAATCCTTGGAAGACAAACCAGCATTTCTTAGCAAATAACACAACTCTACACGCAGCACAGTCCTCTTGCCAGCCTGCTCCTTATTCGGCACTGCTTTGGGGAGATATTCACTCGTGGATTTCTTAAGGAAGGATTCAGCTCAACACTGACCGCCTATTATTCATTAGAATAATACAGGAGGCATGTATTGAAAAAATGTGAATAGGAAAGTCAAAAATTACACAAAACACTACAAGAACCAAATGGAAAGGGATGGACAGAGTGCCGGAATCCCAAGGAAGAAAGATTAAACCCAAAAGCAGAAATAGCAAAGAATAGAGAATAGGCAGTAGGGGTGGGAGGGTGCTGTGACTGTCCCGTGTAAACAAGACACAGTCTCCAGGGACACAGGAGGCACTTGGGCAGGAAGCTAGACACTAGAGCAGCTGTTGGCACTGAGGCTGAGGTACTGGCAGAGCACATGAACATGCAGGTAGGACTGTGGGGGAGGACTTGATCACGGCTTGACCACAAGTGACCCAAGATTTCCATGCACCATGGACAAGAGCTGTGCTCAGTGGCTGTGCACTGGCAGTTGTGTCGGGGATGGTGACGGAACACCCCCCACACCACACACATGCACACCAGAGAAACACACACACACACACACATGCACACCAGAGAAACACACACACACACATGCACACCAGAGAAACACACACACACATGCACACCAGAGAAACACACACACACACATGTACACGAGAAAAAACTAGAAAGGAAGGGAGGAAAAATCAATGGAGGAAAGGAGGACGGGGTAAGGAAGGATGAATGGAAAGCAGGCAAGCTGAACACCAGGGCAGGGAGAAGGGGCATCATCCAGATAATAAACCTCAACGTAAGTTCAAATAAAAGTGAAAATGAGAAAACATATGTTAAAATAAAGACAAATTTCACAAAATTAAAGGAAGATCTCAGGTGAAGAGTCCACAGTTGGCCAAGAAGAATGGCTCCAGGAAACTCCCCTCAGACACACCATGGACACAGTACTCACATGTCAGAAGATTCTCCAGAGACAGAGCACAAGGGACAGAATCAGAGTGGCCTCAGACTCAACCACAACGCGGAATGCAAAAACCCATGGGGAGACATTTCCAAAGTCTGAAGAAAAGCCCTTCGGAACTAGCACATCTGCCCCTCACGTGTGAAGAGCACAACAGGTACAGATACATCCCCCCACAGGCTCCCAAGGCCCCGACAGGACCCACAGCTGCAGCCTTGGAGAGGTGGTGGGTAAATGACAGACAGAACCAGACAGTGCTGCAAGGATCGTGTGACGTCAAGACTGGCAAGCACGTTGGCACAGCTGACGTTGGCTTTTAACAAAACTAAACTCAATGAAAGCATATTCATGAACACCCAGGATGTGAGGTCTAGATCACAGCTCCCAGCAGCAGTTGCTGCAGAGAGAGGAAGACAAAGAGCTGAAGTGGTCATCCCAGTAAGACGAAAGCCCAGACAGGCAGTCAGGGAGTCCCTGTCGGCAAGCAGAGGTGCCGTGTGTCTGATGCGAGTCAGCTTTGTTTTGGTTCCTGGGAGAAGCGCAGGAGAGGGAACCAGCAGGATGGACAGCTTGATGAGGAGGGGACAGGTGGGAGAGGCACAGCCCACAGCAGTGTCCCAGCAGGGACCAAAGCCTTGGCTTCCCACCATTCAGCAGGAAGTCGTGAGTGCAGTGTCACTGGGTTGCATGGTTGTTGGTTCATTTTCAAGGAGCTAAATATTCTTTTCACTGGAGGATAGATGCAATTAGCAAAGGAAGGACTTCAGATCCCCCAGAGTAGGTTGCAGGGTGTGCCCCCCTGAGCTGGGCTAAGCTACAACTCACCCCTGTGCTCCAGCCCCAGGGGCCAAAGCCCACATAACAGAGCCACTTGGGGTGTTTCTCCTACAGCCTGGGTCCACTGTCCTCCAGGAGATCCCTTCTGCAGTACACAAGGTGGCACAGAGTCATGAGAAGCTCATCGGCTGCAGACACGGAGAACTGTACATACAGGAACATGCACGTGGGCAGGTTACATACAGGGACACCTGAAACGTGAGTCCGTAGCCCATGTCCACATGTTAGACATGTGAGCATTGCAGTCATGAGCATGTGAACATGGATGTGCTTGGAGTATACATTAGCATAAATTAAACAATGGATATGGACACGGGAAGCAGGTGTCCCAAAGAATGTCCCGACTGCTGTATCAAATGTTCAACCCAAGTAAGCATTCTAGCACTGACAGACCTTTACAACGGACACAGAACCGGCCTCCTTCAACCAAGGCACCAAGGTCTCTCGCCTGGGCTAGGAGCCTCCCGCAGGTCTCCTGGTTCACCACTGGCCCATCTCACCTCACACAGCAGGTCACACAGTGTTCCCTGCCTCCGAGTCCTCCAGTGGATTCACAGCCCACTCAAATCCCAAACTCCTCAGCGTGGAGGCTGCCGGTCAGGACCAGCGTGGGGCTCAGCTGGGTAGGCCTCTGCTCCCACTGCCGCCTCCCACAGCAGAGTGCCAGGTCCCAGCAGTTCTGCTACAGGTCCAGCTCTCCGGGAACACACCTGGGAAACCTGAGTGAGCTGGCCAAAGTGCTTGCATTTCTGCCCAGATGGAGGACTGGGCTCCCAGCTCCACCCAGAAGTTGTTGTGGGCATCTGAGGAGTGATCCAGTACATGGGAGATATTTCTCTCTCTCTCTTCTCTCTCTCTCTCTCTCTCTCTCTCCCCCCACCTTTCAAATAAGTAAATAGGTAGTATAATCTTTCTACCCTCTTCCAAGTGATCTTAACAGAAATACAAAAGGACCCTCCATGGAGTCATGTTAGTTTTATCCAACAGCTGATAAATGTTGGGGAGGCAGGAACAAACCCTCAGGTGTCTGTTGAACATGAGCCACGGCCGCCATTCACAGACGACATCCATTAGTTAAGAAGCTGTTGGGTGATTTTTGTCTCAGTCTTTCCAGGTTCACGTTTCTGATAGCTAACCATCGCTGCTGCTTCCAAGCTCTGCGCTTTCCTAACGGTAACTGCAAACAAGGCGTCTGAGCGCAGGGGATCAAGACATCACCCTGCTGTGCCAGTGCCTTCGCTCCCAACAGTGCGTATCCCCAAGAGCGGCTTGCCCATGAGGGTCCCCTCCCTTCACCACTACGAAGGAAGTCCACCAGAGTGTCCAGCCTCTCCCACCTTGCCCTGCCTGCTAAAGAAGCACTGAGAACTCTCCTGGACTCGGCTGGACAACCTTGATCCTGACCCTCACAGACCCTCTGCCTTCTCTGCAGGGCTCGCATCCCCTTGTGCCTCCCACTCTCACTGGGAAAGCATCAGCTGTCTTCCAAGCGAACTTGCCAGCTTTCACTGCCACAACCACAGCTGTCAGTCACACTCTGTTTCCAACTTCCTTGAGGGAGAGTCCCTGGGCACGAGGAGAAACCAGACACAGGTTTTGCTTTGCACCACAGTGTCCCTGCTCAAACGCAGCCCTCTGCCACTCAGGTCCACACCACGACCCCATATCCTCAGACTCGTGCTTGCCCTGGGCTGCTGCTTGGTTCCCTGGTCCCCACACCACTGCTGTCACTGCACGGATGCCTCTGCCTTTCCAGCGGTAGCCTGTCAGCTTCCTTCAGATTCACCCTAACAGGCAAACTCCACGTCCAAGCCGCCCCCACCGAGCTGTCCAGCTTGCCTGTCCTCCTCCCACCTCTGCTCTGTGGCATACAGTCCAAGAAGCCCCTCAGCCCTGCTCAGGCTGCACTACTGCCCTTCCCCAGCTCCCAGGCAAAAGTCTGTTCTGGGTTCACAGAAACTCCAGGCTTTGGTCTATTTGCCATCCTGATCTTCCTCACGTCTCCACCACACCACCATCTTTGCAGCATCACCCCCCCCCCACAGGCAGCCACCCACCCAGGTGAAGTTGAAAAACAGCCTCCAGGGACAGGAGATCAAATATGAGTGCTGAAATCAACACACCAACTTAGAGAGGCCACAGAGAGACATGGAAACCAGGTCCACAGCATCAGAGAAGGCACAGCTGGAAACTGGGCCCTCACCGCTCACCTGCAGCAGGAAAGAGCCAGTTGGAGCAGGGTGACCATGTCTGTGCCTCGCGATCTGCCAACCCAGGCCCCACGTCTGCAGCGAGTCAAAGGCTGAAGCCACTCTGACTGCAACAGGCGCCAGTTCACTCTGCTTCTAGGAGCTTTTTTTTTTTTTTTTTTTTTTTTGGGGGATTCCACATAAAGGTGAGATCTTTTCTTTACACAGAACTTTCCTTTTTTAGCTGAAGGTTACTGCACTGTGTAGAACACAGGTTCCTCGTCCATTCACCTGCGAATGGCCACTTGGCTTGTTCCCACACGTTAGCTGTTGTGAGCTCAGGGCTGTAGATGTCACTTTGAGATGCTGAGTTCATCTCTTCTTGATGTGCACACAGCCAAAGTGGCAGAGCCTTCCGCAAGACTTCCAGTGCTCACCTCCAACAGTGTGGGGCTTCTTCCAGTGCTCATCCTGACAGTGTGGGGCTCACTTCTTCCAGTGCTCACCCCCCAACAGTGTGGGGCTCACTTCTTCCAGTGCTCACCCCCCAACAGTGTGGGGCTCACTTCTTCCAGTGCTCACCTCCGACAGTGTGGGGCTCACTTCTTCCAGTGCTCACCCCCCAACAGTGTGGGGCTCACTTCTTCCAGTGCTCACCCCCCAACAGTGTGGGGCTTCTTCCAGTGCTCACCCCCCAACAGTGTGGGGCTCACTTCTTCCAGTGCTCACCCCCCAACAGTGTGGGGCTTCTTTCAGTGCTCACCCCCCAACAGTGTGGGGCTCACTTCTTCCAGTGCTCACCTCCAACAGTGTGGGGCTTCTTCCAGTGCTCACCTCCAACAGTGTGGGGCTCACTTCTTCCAGTGCTCCCCCCAACAGTGTGGGGCTCACTTCTTCCAGTGCTCACCCCCCAACAGTGTGGGGCTCACTTCTTCCAGTGCTCACCTCCGACAGTGTGGGGCTCACTTCTTCCAGTGCTCATCCCCTGACAGTGTGGGGCTCACTTCTTCCAGTGCTCACCTCCAACAGTGTGGAGCTCACTTCTTCCAGTGCTCCCCCAACAGTGTGGGGCTCACTTCTTCCAGTGCTCCCCCCGACAGCGTGGGGCTCACTTCTTCCAGTGCTCACCTCCGACAGTGTGGGGCTCACTGCTTCCAGTGCTCACCCCCCAACAGTGTGGGGCTCACTGCTTCCAGTGCTCACCCCCCAACAGTGTGGGGCTCACTTCTTCCAGTGCTCACCTCCAACAGTGTGGGGCTCACTTTTTCCAGTGCTCCCCCCGACAGTGTGGGGCTCACTTCTTCCCATCAGCCAACACTTGTTATGTTATTGTCTTTTTGATAGCAGCAGTGTGGTGATGTCCCATCATGGTTTCAACTTGCATTTCCTTCACAACTAGCGATTTTCATATCTACCTGTTGTCCATTTCTTTATCTTCTTTGGTAAAATGTCTGCTTGGGTCCTCTGCTCACTTTTGAATGAGGCTGTTCTGTTGGAAGTGGGTTGTGCACATTTCCTCTCCCCATGGGATGGAACCCTTCATGACGCAGACCTCGTTTGCACACATTTTCTCCCACTTGCCAGGTTGCCCTTGCTGTCTGCTCGTGGCCTCCCTTGCTCCACAGCAGCTTTTCCATTTTGCACACAGCTCTACAGTGCAGTTTGAAACCAAGGAGTGCAATGCTGTCAGCTCTGTTCTTCCTCAGGACTGTTTACCACACATGGTCTTTCATGGTCCTATACAAACTTTGGAATCTTTATTTCACTGATGGGGATTGCAATCAGTGCATTTTACTTTGACTGGTGTGGCTATTGTCACAGCATGGATTCTTCCAAGCCATGAGCAAGAGAAATATTTCCATTGTGTCTTTCTCAATTTCTTTATCAGTGTTCTATAGATTTCAGAGTACAGGTATTTCACTTTCTTGGTTATGTTTGTTCCATTCCTTCTCCTTGCTGCTGCTGCAAACAGGGCTGTTGCATGTCTTATTCAGAGTCTGTCCATTTGCAAGTTCTTGGGCATGAAGTTGAGTTGGTTATTTGAAATCTTGCCTTCTGACATTATACATTTTTCCCTTCAACCAGTTTTGTTCCATCCCATGAATTTTTGTATGTTGCTATTTTCATTTATCACCAGATTTTTACAATCTCCTCTTTTTTTAAAAATTTTTATTAATCCTCAAGATGACTTTATGTAATATGAGACTTTCTACACTTCAAATATATAGCTCTTTTTAAAAGATCCATTTATTTATTTATTTTTAATTGGAAAGGCAGATCTACAGAAAGAAGGAGAGAACGAGAAAGATCTTCCATCCACTGGTTCACTCCCCAAGAGGCTGCGATGGCTGGAGCTGAGCTGATCTAAAGCCAGAAGGCAGGAGCCTCTCCCAGGGTTCCCCCGTAGGTGCAGAGTTCTGAGGCTTTGGACCATTCTCTACTGCTTTCCCAGGCCACAGGCAGGGAGCAGGATGGGAGGTAGACACTAACCAGTGCCCATATGGAATCCCCAGGTAATGCAACGTGAGGATTTAGCCACTAGACTATTGCACCAGGGCCCCCTCCTTTTTTAATTTCTTTCTTGAGTCACTGGTTGTTGAAGAGAATGTTGTTGAATTTTCACTTACTTGTGCATTTCCAATTCCCCTCCTGTTGAGGATTTTTGGCTTTGCACCCTTGCATTTCGAAAACATACTTGACCTGGTTTCAATCTTCATGAGTTCACTGGAACTTTCATCTGGCTTTGTCCTGAAGAAGTCCCCATGTCCTCCAGATGCTCTCTGACCAGCACTGGAGCCTGCGGTCATCGGGGCCATCTGGTCCAAGGCACAATCCAGGTCCAGCGCTTCCCTCTTTGTTCTGTGTCTGGACGGAATTGTGCATTGCTTAAAGTGATGTCCTGGCATTTTCTGCCTCTTCCTTCCATTCTGCTAACACTTGTTTCACAGACTGACATGCCTGCCCAGGCCTGGGTGCACCTGTCGTGGAGGGACCATCTTGAGGGACTGACCTGGCTCTTAAGCCATGATCTTCTTTGTCTCTTTTTACAGGTCAGCCTCATTGCAGCTGTCTCTGCTCCTTCGCATTCTTTCCAAAACCTTCACTTTCAGCCCATCTTATTCTTAAAGCCAAGACCTGGCCAGTATCGCAGCTGTGACACCTGACATAGAGCTGTCTCTCATCTCCCACCCTCTATCCATCAGCACAGCCACCACAGTGAGCTCTCATCCACTCAGTGGGACCCAGTGGCTGCCTAGGAAAATGCCTAGGAGAGCAAAGGCACACACAGTGAGTAGAAAGGAGATGTGGTTCCAGCTCTACACTGAAGCCCACACTGCAGCCATCAGTCTGTGCTGCCTCCTGCATGCTTGTCCACTGCCCCATGGGATCCACTTCCTGCCTCCTGCATGCTTGTCCACTGCCCCATGGGATCCACTTCCTGCCTCCTGCATGCTTGTCCACTGCCCATGGGATCCACCTCCTGCCTCCTGCGTGCATGTCCACTGCCCATGGGATCCACCTCCTGCCTCCTGCATGCATGTCCACTGCCCCATGGGATCCACCTCCTGCCTCCTGCATGCTTGCCCACTGCCCCATGGGATCCACCTCCTGCCTCCTGCATGCTTGTCCACTGCCCCATGGGATCCACCTCCTGCCTCCTGCATGCTTGTCCACTGCCCCATGGGATCCACTTCCTGCCTCCTGCATGCTTGTCCACTGCCCCATGGGATCCACTTCCTGCCTCCCGCGTGCATGTCCACTGCCCCATGGGATCCACTTCCTGCCTCCTGCATGCTTGTCCACTGCCCATGGGATCCACTTCCTGCCTCCCGCGTGCATGTCCACTGCCCATGGGATCCACTTCCTGCCTCCTGCATGCATGTCCACTGCCCCATGGGATCCACTTCCTGCCTCCTGCATGCTTGTCCACTGCCCATGGGATCCACTTCCTGCCTCCCGCGTGCATGTCCACTGCCCATGGGATCCACTTCCTGCCTCCTGCATGCTTGTCCACTGCCCATGGGATCCACTTCCTGCCTCCCGCGTGCATGTCCACTGCCCATGGGATCCACTTCCTGCCTCCTGCATGCATGTCCACTGCCCCATGGGATCCACTTCCTGCCTCCTGCATGCTTGTCCACTGTCCCATGGGTTTCACTTCTTTTCACACAGCCTCCCTTATGGGCTCACCCTACTTCTTCAAGCCAGCTGCCTCCCCGATTCCAACTAAAGCACGTACGACCACTGGTTCTATAGCCAAGGCCTAGGAGCACAGCCTTTTATGATGCTGCAAAGCAGATATTGGTAGTTCCCTGAATGAACAGTTCATGAAACTTGTTAGAAATAATTGCAGTACAAAGGAAATATTGACTAACTTGAAGAATTAAAATCATAGTTCTTGGAGAGTCATTGTAGACCCTGCTGATCCTAGCATCACCCCTGGTTCCCCTCCAGACAAGAGTCTCCTTACTTCCGAACGCCTCCCAAAGGAAAGACCTTCTCTCCAATCGTGGCCAGCACGCTATTCCAATCTGACAGACTGAACTTGGGGATGATGATCTTTATAGGTGGGATAAACAATCGTCCATTTGTGAAAACACTGTAAGAATAAAAAGAAAAGCATCCAAATGTTAGCATATGAAATTTGAAGGAAGACCTTTCAAATTCAAAAATACTACAGAGAGTGAGTGTTAAAATTGTTAAAACAACAGGGGCACTGAACAGCTGCCAGGATGCATGCATGGGATGCAGGGACCATCATCAGCCACACAGAGCATCACGCAGCCTGCTGACCTGACACGTACAGTACAAAAAGGTCTTTCTATCAATCCTAAAATGCCAGATGAACAAGGCAGAATTCTACTTTCAAATACATACGCTCCCGATGCTGTGATGGTTATAATGGAATAAAATTGCAAACATTTGGAAAAGAAAGAGAAATCATGCCTTGAGAATGTATGTTCTCCTCCCCCCCGGGGTGAGAGATGCCCACAGGTCACACGCAATCCTTTGCAAAGACAAGGGACACAGACTCCACTCATGCGGTTTTAGGCCAATCCGATGCACTCCCGGTGGGCCCATTTTAGCATTTCTGTCTGTTCAGCCTAACAGGGTGCCTGGCAGATTTTCAAAACTCAGTACCAAAGCTGTTAGGCCTCTGTATTGTCTTAATATTCCACCCTGTTAGTCAGAACCACTTGACAACATTTGAACTGAACAAAATACTGAAACTTGGATTAAATTACAGCCAAATACAGGGCTATGTCTTTAGGTCTCAGATAGCCTTTAAGAAGAGAGTTTGGTGATGCCTTTGTAGATATTCACATTTTATCTATGTACCTAAATTTAAGTGGAAATGTCCATTGAAAAAAAAACTTCCTGGGTGGAGCAAGGCAGATGCTGAGAAGACAGCCATGCCACACTGGGCACCGGTTGGAATGCCAGCTGTTCTGCTCCAATCCAGGTCCCTGTGCATGTGTCCAGGGAGCCATGGACGGGGGGCCCATGCCCCAACACTGGAGATGCACATGGAGACGAACTGCCCTGGCTTCCCTCTGGACCAGCCCCAGCTGCTGAGGCCCCTGGGGAGTAAACCCGCACATGGAATATCTCCCTACCTTCTCTATCACTCTCCCTTTCAGATACATAAATAAGCAATGTTTATATTTTAAATATTTTAAAGAAAAGAAATATTCTATTATATAATAAGATGGCTGTGATTTCAAAAATGCTAGAATTGTGAATGTTTTCACCACACACACACAAGAAGACACATACACCGATCCAAACATATATCAAAACATCACATGGAATCAGAGCTAGGTGTCAGTCAAAAATGTAATTAACAAAAATAAAGCCACAAAAAGAGAGATGCAGTAAGAACCACCTGCAGTTTACAGGTGCAGAAGATTCAAGCTGAGAAGAGGCGGCCTGCGTGCATCTGCAGGCACTTGCCAGGGAGCTGCCCAGCAGCCAGAGTCCTCCGGTAACCTCAGCGCTGTTGCCATGTCCACCTTCCACCCAGCGCAATGGGGAGCCAACCCCATAACCCCCAGGCACAGTCTCCCCAAGTCTGGTGGAGAGCTGGTAGGTGGGCACAGATCAAGCCCCATCTTACTTAAACGCTGTGCAATTGCCGCGAGCATGATGCCCACCCAGCCCTCTTTAAAAGCACAACCACCACCATGACAACTCGGGGTGGAAACAGAAAGAAGGCAACAGTGTGTGCAGCACAAACAGGCCTGTGAGCAGGGGCCCAGAGCAGAGCCACAGCATCGTCCTTCCTCCCCTTAGCCCCTTACCCCAGGTAAAAGGGCCCTACATTGGCTGTTCCGGCCAGAAACCTGCCGATACCCTTGGCTGGGAGGAAACCAGAATGACACTTCCTGTGTCACCACTTCCCTCACACTGTCTGCTCCACTGTGGTGGGGGCGTCTGCGCTGGCTGCTGTACTCGCCACTTCCTAACCCGGGGCCCAAGAACCCCTCAAACTGCAGGAGAGGTTGGACCCAAGCTTCGCCATACCAGACAGGAGGCCACGGAGAGCAGATTCCAGACTAACACCCCTTAGGCGTGGACAGTGCACTGCCCACAGCACTGTGGGAAATATAACGAAGCCCCGTGAACACCACACACACACCACTCCACTCAACCTGTGAACTCACCACACACAGAGCTCCACCTTGGGCCCCGTGAATACACACACACATGCACACCACTGTACCCTGAACCCATGAACTCCACACACAAAAAACTCCACCCTGGGCCTTGTGAACCACCCACATACAACTCCATTTGGATGGAAGCTGCACCACAGAAGTCTGGATGCTTCGATTAAAATAACCAATAAAACAAGAACAATTTGACTGATGGCAAGACCCAAAATTGTTGGCTGCCATGTCTGGGCTCTGGGCCACCACTGCCCAGTGCTAAGACCACAGAACAAGCTCCAGTGTCCTCCCATAGAAACCCACTGGCCGCCCCAAGGACATGCCCTGTGCCCTCAAAAGCCCCCGTGTTCACAGAGGGACCAGCACCTGTACTCTGCACCTGGAGGGGCCCCCACCTGGCTTGTTAATGTTGCTGGGCAATCACTAACCCAACCTCCAACCCTAACTGCCACCTCATGCTGCCCCGCCTCGAGTCAGGAGGCATCAGCAGTGGGGAGAGGGATGTGGCCACTCACCTCAGGGCCCAACTAGTACGATTCTACAGGACCCCCAGAAGCTCAAAGGTCTCCCGCCCCAAGAAAGCCGCCAGGAAGGGGTCGGCATGAGTCCCAGTCCTGCTCCTGCCATTCTCCCCTCAAACACCTGCGTGATTAGCCAGCGCTGCACAGAGCCCCTGTGCCTGGCCAACCTCCCACCCCTCGGGGCAGCATGGCTCAGCTACCTGTGCCCACACCTCGGTGACGGGACACGCTCATGCAGTCCTGGCTGTCCGGGGCCAGGCTCTTCTCAGCCAAGGAAGGGTGGGAAGCCATTTGCTCCTGGATGTTTCAGACTCTGCCATGCTTAACTGGGTGTGTAGGCACAGCACTGAGCTCTCTGCTTGTAGAGGAACCCTGCATTTAGACGGATATTTGGGTCCATCTAGTGGAGCTTGTAGCATGAAAGCAGAGGCTGGGCACTCACTACAGGAACAAACGGTTTCCAGCTGAAAAAAACGTCGTCTGCCAAGTAAATGAGCAGCCTGCACATCTCAGCCCTGCTTGTCCAGTGTGCCACAGGGGCCGCACACTGTGTAAAGGCCCACAAACCAGTAACCTTCTGCAGCCTTCCAAACGGAGAAGTGCGGTGTTTTCTCCTAGCAGCACAGCTCATATCGTGCTGCAGACTTCAGAAGCATGTGCAGGCAGCCTCCAACAGAAACTTTAGGAAAAGTGCTTGGAACAAGGCTCACTGGGTCCCCAAGATGCCTCTGACCAATGGGCTGTAGTACTGCCTTTGTCCTCCTCATCCAAGGCTTAGGTCAGTTGGTTACATGGAGATCCAGCCTCATACACTCCTACACATGGCAAAGAAAGAGGAGCCCTGCTAATGGGCTGGGGTTAGGGGCCCCAGTTCTCAGAGTCAGTGAGGCTGTGGCCACTCACTAAACCGCCTCCCTTTTGGAGCTGGTCGTTCAAAAGGAAATTTCGGTCACTGCCACGCTAAAGCACCTGACGAGACAGATGTGGAGAGAAATGGCATTTCCTGGAAGCATCACACGCATGGGTGACCATCACAGCCTTGCAATGTGGCTGCTCAGTCCTGCTGCACCCCAGCAACCAGGGCAGAGAGAGGGGACGGGGGAGCCATCCCTGACACGAGGAGCTGGACTGGAACCAGCTCTTCCCATAAGCTGCCCTCACAGCACTAAGGCTGGACTCCTCCCACTGGGCCAGCAGCACCATGGAGGCAGCCAAGCTCAGATCAGCCCTCCCTCATGCCATGCGGGACTAGGCTGTGGGGTACCCTCACTTTGTCATGCCTGAGACATAGTAGGTGGCAACGCAACAGCAGGAACTGTCCCGAAGCCAAGGTCCAAGAGAAGAAAGAGCGTGCCACAGCTGAAGGCTGCATCAGGAGGGGTCTGCTTCTGGGAGAGACCCCAAGCCCCAGAGCCGGGCCGGAAGAGAGGGAGAGCCAGGACAGGGCCAGGCAGAGCTTGTGGGAACAGAGCGTGCTATTGCTTTTATGCAGTTCTCGCCACGACTGTTCCCAGCTGTAATACTGTACTCACTTGATGTGTCTGGATATTCGATGGCAGGCCTGCCACCTGGAGGGCACGCTGATGTCACAATGTACCACCGGCTTGATCTGAAAGGAGACGTGGGCCTGGGGTTCAGTTCAGGTCTACAAACTGCTGCAGCATGCACATCACTGCCCTACCCCAAAACATCAGCAGGCCTGGGGGACAAGAGGGTCACGAAGAGGGGCAGAGGTATGCAGGGCGCCGAGAGGTCGGGGCAAAGGCTGTGCACGCCAGTCCAAAAAAGAGCAGAGTGCGGGGGGCAGTGCCACTCAGCAGGGCAGCGCACACCATGGCCACGCCCAGCATTCCTGAACCAAGCACCTGTCAAGGCTCTCTTGGCACTGCCACAGGCTCTCTGCTGGCCCAATTCCTGGGTCTGCAGAACAGATCACGTGGCTTCCGATTTTCAGACCAGGACGTCCCCGCCAGCAGGTGCAATCCCCACATGCCCTGACCTTCCCTCCTCTTCCCTGTGCTGCTATCTGAGAAGCAGAGCCACCAACCATGGCCTCATGCCAGCATCAACCTCCAGGTCAGCAGGGCTGAGATGCTGAGTGGGCAAGATCTGACACAGGACAGCACACTTCCTCACCCTCACCCGCTGCCCGTCAGGATCGGCAGAACATCAGTGGAGGGGAGGTTGGGGAGGAGTTGACGGCCCTGCCCTGCCTCTACAGGGGCCCAGCCCCCCCACACACACCCTGGCCTGCCCTGAGAAGCAGCCACTCTCCATGTTGGATCCTAAGCACCCACTGGCTCCCTCCCCACCGCTCTCTCTCCCTCCCCTGCCCTGCCTGGTTATTTGCTCACATGTGTTGTTCACAAATCCTGCTATAAGTCCCCCTTGGCCCCATGGGCCCCACTCCCCAGTCCCCCTGCCTGCTGCCTGCCGGCATGCACACACATGGCCCCCCATAGGGTGTCTCCACAGACCCCGGCCAGCTTCAGCCTCTCAGAGCCCCTCCACCGGAGCTTCCGACAGACCCCATCTGGCCCATTTTGCAGGCTCTTGGTCTCAGCTGCACTGTAAGGGGGCTCTGAGAGGCCACGACTGCCCCACTTTCACCCCAGGTGCACCCTGCCCTCTCACCTGACTCCAGTGGCCTCCCTGCAGGCACTAGCCAGGATGCACCCCCGGCTGCTGCCCTCACACCTATAATATCACCGCCAGTGGGAACGCATTGGGACACCCGCATGCTCACACCACACCAGGCAGGTCTGGGGCCCTTCTATACCTGGCACCCTAAAGCCTTCCCTGGAAGACTACAGCCTCACCCTTGGGGTTCCCCAGTGGCTCAGCCTTCAGCTATAACCCCTTGCAGCTCAGGTGCAGCCATATGGCCCACACTCACTCCACCTGCAAAAACCTCAGCTCTGCCAGGCCCACTTTGCTCTGGCACCTGCTCCAACGTCCTCCACCACCCCCTGCAGGCTGCTCCAATGGCTCCTCCAGAGCTGCCCTGCTCCCTTCTGCTCTCAGTTCTGCCAGGACCCCAGCTTCCACACAAGATGGGCCACTAACTATATCCCCATTAATACTGGGGATCTGTTGATTCACCCCAAGTTGAGTAAGTCAGCCACAGTCCCGACGCCAAGAACAATGCCCACACACACACTCTGGGCTCATGGTGACAACACAAACAGGCTGTTGCCTCTGGCAGACCTAGGTAAGCACTGACTCTCGCTCTTCCCAGAGAACCAGGTTTTAAGGGCAGGGAGGGGGAGAACAGGAAGCTGACCCAGCAGTTAAGACACCCGTGGGGCTGGAGGCTGGCGCAGGGGTTAAAGCTGACGCCCATAATGCCAGCATCCCTTGTGGGCGCCAGTTCATGTCCTGGCCACTCCACTTCCCATCCTGATCCCAGCTAACGACCCTGGAGATGCCACAGAGGATGGCACAAGTATTGGAACCTCGCCACCCACATTGGAGACCTGAATGAAGCCCAGCTGCTGGCTTGGGCCATCCCAGCCCCACTGCTCTAGCCACCTGGGGATTGAACCAACCAGCGGAAGATGTTTGTGTGTGTGTGTGTAATAAAACCAACATCCAAGTGCTATTGGATCCTTGCCCCCAGCTGCCGATTCCAGCTTCCTGCTAACACAGACCCCATGAGGCAGCAGGCGGCGGCCCAAGCACTGGGTCTGTGCCACCCACACGGGGGACTTGAATGGAATTCCCAGCTCCCAGCCACCACTCCAGCTATGTGAGCATCTGGGGAGAGAATTCTTTATATTCTGACTCCTCTCCCTCTCTCTCTCCCTCCCTCTCACATTCTTGCATCATGTATGCACCTATTCTCTAACGGTGAAGAAAGCGGTGCTGTGTTTACAGAGCAAGCTGGGAAGCAACGAAAATCGCATTGTGCACGTTCCATGAGACACAGCCCCCAAGATACAGCTTTCTGCTTGGCTGCACAACATCACAGAGACAATGAGATAATTGCTCTTCCACTGTGTTAAAGACTCATTAACCCTGATATCACTACCTAATTAAATAACTCCAGCAATTAAGCACAGGGCTCTGGCTTCCTCCCTGACTCTGCGCAGCCTCCTCCCAGGCTGTGATGAGCAGACACGGGTTCCCATGACTGTCTAACAGGGGTGAGCACAAGCACCCATACGGGAGCCAGGCTCGTGCCACTCACCTGCATGAGTACAAGGACCCGTCGTCTAAGAGCTCCTTAACCCAAGGCAGGAAACCACACCCGAACCCATGACATAAGCCCCTCAGCACTGAGCAGGCATGGCTGCGGTTTCTGGAATGCTGACTGGCATAGGCAACTGTGTGCATTCAAACAGCCAGGCAAATATCCCAGTACCAAAGAATCAGAGAGGTACCATAAGCTTCCTAAGAACACACAGCATCAAACACTTTGTGGTGACAAATCATCAGAATATCTCATGGTAGTGTTCAGCAAATTTGTCTGGGAACCCACTCCGACACAGCACGGTGCTCCGGAGCCTGGGCTGCAGGACATCCAGGGATCTAGCCCTGGTTCAGACACTGACCAGCTTGTCAGCTGGCACCACGTCATCCGCCACCCATACCACTCGCTGCTGCACACCACAGATCACCTCGGGTGACATGGAGTCAGGCGCCACCTCACCACCTGCTGTGGCAGCAGCTGCTGCTATCTGGCTGTTGCTCAGCTCCACAGTCATGGTCCATCTGGGGGCTGCTGCAGCTCCCTCGGCCCCTTCCACCCAAAAGATACCACGCACATCAGGAAAATCCTATGAAAAATCCACTGCACCAGAGAGCACGGCCAGCTCCCAGCATTCCTCCGGAGCTCGCAGGATCCCACCAGATGGCCTGAACCGACAGAGAGGGGTGGGGTGACCCAGGAACAGGTGTACAACCAGGAAAGCCAGGACAGCCACAAGGCATGAAAACCACGTAGACAGTGCAGCCAACTCCCAGCTTCAGACCAGCCCCACTCCGGCCATTGCAACCACTTGGGGAGTGAATCAGCAAACACAAGATCTCTCTGTGTCCCTCCTTTTCCCTCTGCAATCCTTTTAAATAAAAATGCTTGAAATAATAATACTATTCTATCACTTTAATGTAAACATATTTATAAAGCCATAGTTTGGGTGCTGGTGCAGTGGCATAGGATGCTAATCCCCCACCTGTGGTGCAGGTATCCCAAATGGTCACAGGTTCATGTCTCAGCTGCTCCTCTTCCAATGCCGTTTCCAATTTATAACATGGGAAAGCAGTGGAGGATGGCTCAAGTTCTTGGGCCCCGGCACCTTCTGGGAGACCCAGAGGAAGCCCCTGACACCTGATTTCCACCTGACCTAGCCCTGCCATTGCATTCATTTAGGGAGCAAACTAGCAGAGGGAAGATCTCGATCTCTCCCTCCCTCCTGAGAGAGGCTTGCTTTGAGGACTATAAGATGGTCAGTTCTGGAGAAGGTTCCATATGCTGATGAAAAAAAGTATTCTCTGTCTGTAGGATGAAAGGTTCGATAGTTGTCAACTAAGTCCATTTGCTCTGGAGTTTGGGTGAGTTCTGTTGTTTCCTTGCTGAGTTTCTTTCTCTTTGATCTGTCCATTGATGTTAATGGGGTATTAAGGTCCCCCACTAGGATCATGTTGGAGTCTATTTCTCCCTTTAAACCCGTTAATATTTGTTTCACGTAGCTAGATGTTTTGGCATTTGGCACATACACATCTATTATGGTGATCTCTTCTTGCTGAATGGATCCTTGGATCATTATGTGGTGTCCTTCTTCATCTCTTTTAATGTTTTTCACATCAAAGTCTGTATCATCTGATATAAGAATGGCTACACCTGCTCGTCTTTCCCTACCATTTGCTTGGAATATCTTTTCCATCCTTTCACTTCAATTTCCTCTGATCTTTGTTGGTGAGATGTGTCTCCTGTAAGCAGCAGATAGATGGGTTTTGTTTTTTGATCCATTCCTCTAATCTATGGCATTTGACTGATGACGTTAAGCCATTCAGAGTCATTACAGATAGGTGGCAGTTTGGTCCTGTCATTCTACCAATGGGTTATTCTTCGATTTAGTCTTCTGCTAGCCTCTTAGAGGGATGTTCTCCACATTTGCCTTTGGTTCTGGTAGTTGCTATTCCCGTGTTTTTTCATGGGAACATCTTTATGTATCATTTGTAGGGCAGGTTTAGAAGAGGCAAATTCATGGAGTTTTTCTTTACTGTGGAAAAATTTCATTTCATTTTCAAAGACAAAGGAGAGCTTTGCATGATATGTTATTCTGGGCTAAAAATTTTTCTCTTTTAGAATCTGGAATATGTCACTCCATTGTCTTTTGGCCTGTAGTGTGTCCTCTGAGAGGTCAGCTGTGATTCTGATTGGGGTTCCTCTATAAGCCACTTGATTTTTTTCACATGCACATTTAAGGAATTTCCTTTTGTTCAATTGAACAGAGCTTGAGTATCACACGTTGTGGTGAAGATCGCTTCTGATCAACTCTGTTGGGAGTTCTGTGGCCCTCCTGGATATTGTTTCCTAATTCTTTCTCCAGATTATGGAAGTTTTCCTTTATTATTTCATTGAACACACCTTTAATCCCAACTTCT